GAGATGAAGTTTTACCAAAATTATAGACTTATCTCTCTTTGTTTTCCCAAATAAGTTATGTTTTTTGATGAAATTCACATAAATATTCGGTATATAAATATGAAAAATCATTCCAATATGTTAACTTTCTAAATTAACTCTGCGATAGGTGGCAGAATTTTACTATCATTCTTGCTATCATATGGTTTTTTTCAAGCATGCGTATTAAAGCTATTGCGACAAGCCTTCTGCATTAGCAATACTAGTCCCCTACCGGCAAGTGTAATCTGGTTCCCATTAAAAATTGAAAATACTGTAATTCTGTCAAAAAATCATTGAAGCGGAACATAATGCAAACTTGATCTGTAACTCATCAAGATACACTCACATACCAAAATCAACTCAATATCTGCAAACGTTTGGGAAAAAAAGTGTGGAAAACCCTTAAAAATTAAACAGGTTGTAATTCCGTCAAAAATCAATAAAGCGGAACGAAATTAAAAACTTGATCTGTAACTCATCAGTACATACTTACATACCAAAATCAGCTTAATATCTGCAAGCGTTTAGAAAAAAGTGCGGAAAACCAAGTGGGACAGAGTAACAGAGAGACAGAGGGACAGCTAGACAGACGGACGGACAGACTCAGAGGAAACCTATCGTCCCCTCCGGTTTCAATTTATTTTATTCTTGATGAAAGGGCAGATTACTCTATTTGCATAAATGTACCACAAAATCAGAACTCTTTAGCGTGCAGTGTATAGAGGGCTCTTAAGCACATGAAAAAAAATTCCAACTTTTTCCTCATTTTCCCCTCCTGTTTATGTCATGTTTCATCATTGGGTTATTTTTTAATTATTTTGAATGCCATTTAAACATTGAATTGTGAACTGTACAGATACATGTAGTATTACATGTACTGCAATAATTATTTTCAATAGGTCTTTCTTTGTTAACACGATAAAATGCACCATTCTATCCTAAAATGTTTTCAACTATGAAAACATTTTTACACCTTCTTCTGTGCCAACCTCAAAGTTGCGGGGTATTATTATCATAGTTTACAACAGATTATACGTCAAACGTATACGACAAATGTTTATTAAAATTAATAAAAATTAATAATACCCGGTAGTAATTGGCTATGAGTTGACTTATAGCTTTGAGTTTTCGACGTGTACACCGATGATTATTCGTGTCTCGAACTTGATTCTAATTGATTTTCACGGTCAAATTTTAAGAGTCAAGGACACACTGAAAGATCAGAATTTTTGAGTGAAATAAAATTGTTTAAATATTGTGCATGTTGTTTTTATGGTGGGATGGTCCAAATACAGTATACAATACGTACCTCTTAAACTCTGAGAAGTTTAAATCTTGATTATAAGGCATAGGTACAGTGATAGATGTTTGCTCTGCTCCTATTTTGTATTGTATAATGGACTTTTGAGCTTGAATACTGTTCGTTATCTCCATATTTTTCATGTAGAATAAAGTGTGTATACATGCACAGGTACAGTCAGGGATGTTGTTTACAAGCCACAGGTACAGTCATGGATGTAGAAAAAAGTGTGTCTATTGGACAGGTACAGTCGTGGATGTTGTTTATAAGGCTCAGGTACAGTCATGGATGTAGAGTAAGATGTGTGCGATGCACAATTACAGTCAGGGATGTTGTTTATAAGGCATACATGTAGGTACAGTCATGGATGTAGAATAAAGTGTGTGTATTGGACAAGTACAGTCGTGGATGTTGTTTATAAGGCACAGGTACAGTCAGGGATGTAGAATAAAGTATGTATATATGTACAGTCGTGGATGTTGTTTATAAGGCACATGTTCAGTCATGGATGTAGAATAAAGTGTGTGTATTGGACAGGTACAGTCGTGTGTATTGTTTATAAGGCACAGGTACAGTCATAAATGTAGAATAAAGTGTGTGTACTGGACAGATACAGTCGTGGATGTTGTTTATAAGGCACATGTACAGTCATGGATGTAGAATAAAGTGTGTCTACTGGACAGATACAGTCGTGGATGTTGTTTATAAGGCACAGGTACAGTCAGGAATGTGGAATAAAGTATGTATATATCACAGGTACAGTCAGGGATGTTGTTTATGAGGCACACGTACAGTCATGAATGTAGAAAAAAGTGTGTTTTGGACAGATACAGTCGTGGATGTTGTTTATATGGCACAGGTACAGTCATGGATGTGGAATAAAGTATGTATATATCACAGGTACAGTCAGGAATGAAGAGTAAGAGGTGTATACTGCACAGGTACAGTCAGGCATGTTGTTTATAAGGCACAGGTACGGTCATGGATGTAGAAAAAAGTGTGTGTATACTGGACAGGTACAGTCGTGGATGTTGTTTATAAGGCACAGGTACAGTCAGGAATGTGGAATAAACTATGTATATATCATAGGTACAGTCGTGGATGTTGTTTATAAGGTACAGGTACAGTCATGGATGTAGAGTAAGAGGTGTATACTGCACAGGTACAGTCAGGGATGTTGTTTATAAGGCACAGGTACAGTCATGGATGTAGAACAAAGTGTGTGTATTGGACAGGTACAGTCGTGGATATTGTTTATATGGCACAGGTACAGTCATGGATGTAGAGTAAGATGTGTATACTGCACAGGTACAGTCAGGGATGTTGTTTATAAGGCACATGTACTGTCATGGATGTAGAATAGTGTGTGTCTTCTGGACAGATACAGTCGTGGATGTTGTTTATAAGGCACAGGTAAAGTCAGGGATGTAGAATAAAGTGTGTGTATACTGGACAGGTACAGTCGTGGATGTTGTCAATCAGGCACCGGTACAATCATGGTGTAAAATTTCTAGAGTTGTCAGGACAGGTACAGTTGTGGATGTTGCATCCCAAGAAATTCCTTACGTAGGATTTTCTATGAGCTGAACTCAATAAAGGTGCTATTAACGCTGTTCACCGATATTCCCTATAGATTGATTCCAGACAATTGATTGCAGAATCTTAGAGAGGTGGATCTGATAAAAATATTTACTTATACAAAAATTTTCTTCGGATGTTATAGATAATTATAGCAGTAATTTCCTTCAATATGATCAATTATTTTAATACCATACCCTGCATATTTCAGGTATCACACCACGGTTATCGACCAGTCAAGATGTTAATTGTTCCATGCATATAAAATTAATTTTCATTTCTTTTGCGATTTTTTTTTGGGGGGGGGGTTCTTCCAGTCTATTTTTACAACTTAGATACCTGTGCCTAATAAATTTTATGTACTTTGTAAATAAATAAAGTTTTTTTTTGTCAGGAACTATTCTTTTTCAGGGCATAGGATCGAGGCTACTTCCTGGGGTGCTCTTGAGATGTTTATATATAACACATTGAAAACGCGTGGATCAGCCCATTCCACCCGAATATATCGTAAGACATATATTTATGGAAAAAAAAACTGTTTTTCATTGACACCACTTGCATGATCAATGAAATGGGTGAAATTAAAAATATTGTGACGTACTTATACTTTCTAACATAAAATTAAGGATTACAAATTAATTCCAATATTTATTTTAATTTCCTTTTTTATTTTACTTTGTTTATTGTTTACTCGTATATTTTCAATAATTATACTAGCAAGTTTCATTTTAAATTCATCAATATTATTGAGCACGTAGGAAATTGAAATCACCCCCCCCCCCCACACACACACACACCCAAATTAAAGACCTGGCTCATATTGTTCTTTGAACATAAAGTTTTATAGCTTTAATTTTAAATCTGTAAAAGTTTTGAATCCTAACCTAATCACTGCTGACATCGTTTGTCGCGGTATCACTGTCATGGGTAATACATGTATAAAGATTAGCGTCAATTGCGCTTTGATTGAATTCAGTCTAAATCTAAATCGGAGGAAATCCACAGAATTTCGTGTCGTGGATGTTATTAATCAAGCGCGGGTTGAGTCAGTGGTAGTGTGTATGTACGGCACAGGTACAGTCGCAGATGTTGTATATCAGGCACAGGTATACAGTCATAGATATACAAAATGTACGCTGTAGTAAATGTTACTTTTTAGAGATTACAAAAATGTATAGCGATCCATACAATGGATTTAGGCACAGTCAAGTTAACCATCTTCGCTAGCCAAGGACTTCTGATACGCTACTCTCCTCATAAGCCCTTGGCATACAGTGTTAAAAAAAAGTTGGGATTTTTTTCTCAAGTTGTGATTGGAGTTGATCGACATCGTTCGACCAATCAGCAATTGTTTTTTGTAAATGACGATATTTGCGTTCGGGATATATCTTGACTCTTTAATATCGGTAATGTAAAACGATGATCCGTAAGATAACATGCCATTCCATGAATAGCAATATGGTGTCATCCAATTTCTAAAGCAACGTGCAAAATATGTGATTAAGAATCTATACTGCAGATGTAGATTTGAATTTTTACATGTTTAAATAACAAATTAACAGAACTCAATACCTTCTTGTTAATTATTCTTTAAAAACATTTTTTTTTAAAATACGCTTTTTATTTCTGTCGATGACGCAATCTGTGCGTACCTGGTAAGAATCATGATCACGTGACAAAAACAATCCCGTCTTTTGTCAGCACCGTATGCCAAGGGTTTATGAGGAGAGTAGCGTATCAGAAACCCTTGGCTAGCGAAGATGCAAGTTAACATAATTATATTTTCCTCGATATATTCACTAAGCCACTTATCGTTACCGTTTTGGCGATTACAGCCTTCCGTAAAGTAGATTTATTTGAAATCAGAAATTTTCTTTCCTCATATTCGTATTTTTCATTAAAAAACAATCTATACTTAACAACATATAGTTTATACGTTGAACAATCCGGAAAATCTTGCTCTGACATTCCGTTATTGATATTAGTGAGCAGGTACAGTCATGGATGTCCGGTACCAGCATTGCCGAGTACAGTTGCGGATGTTAGCTGACAGACCCCACTCATTTTTGTCCTTAATGTTAATATAGTGAGGTCACCGAGGGATTGTTTACTCTGCGTTCAAAACGAAAGAAGATCGTATATTGGTCGGCTTGGTGTAAAATGTGGAGGAAGGAGGCTCCATAATGGAGTGTAACAGAGTGCAAGGAATGGGGACTAGCTGATGTTAATATTAACAAATTTGCTCATTTCATCTGCCATTCAGTTTAAGACCATACAACATATTTAAATCTGTCAAGACCTCATGGGTTACTGTGAGATAGCAGCGCAGGAGAAAAATCTTAGCAAAGTTTAGATTTTCTGTTGCACTCAGTATCTATTATATCTAAAATTTAATTAAAAGCACAAGATGTACCTTGGTGGTTTTGATAGCTGAAATTTTTTGGATGAATCTCATTTTGTTTTTTCTCGATCGTTTCTCATTCTTTGAGAAAACATGACAACAATGAACCAAAGGATAATTTTGATGCTGTTTCTGTTCATTTAATCTTTTTTAAATTTTTTAAAAATTTAAATTAAAAGCAAAGTTGTTTCCCTTGTTCACATACATGTATGAAGATCATTGTTTCACTTTGTCCTTTATCTTTGGTTCTCATTATATCATATTTCATAAGAAACTGTCAAATGGTATACACAAAATTGAGTTTAAAGATAGAATAGATTCATTCGGTCAACTTCTTTAATTGTTTGGATAATGTGACACTCTAACAAGTTCTCATTGAATACTGGAAATTGAGATGACAAATCTAATAAGCAAGTGCTATAATTGCAACAAGATGCTCCACCTCTTGCATCATCCGACTCAAGAATCTCCAACCCTAGCTCTTTTTAGCCTACATCCTCCACCTTTTACACCAAGCCATGATGGTCCATATTACTGGGTTTAGTTTGAAGGAAGAGACATGTTTTATAGAATCCTCTTTGGAATTGCATTGGCAGTGTCCACTGCTTTTATCATAAAAATGGTGTAAGTATCAAATCAATATTTTAAAAAAATATGGGCAGGTAAAATTGCAGCAAAGTACAGCAGTGTCTTGCTTTATTTCAATGATACCGTTGACAATTTAAGGAGGCTGGGGGGTCAACAAATTAACCACAAATTAACCACCAGATTTAACTTATTTTTTTAGATATGATATCTTAAGCTGTCAACTATCATTTGGCAAAGAAAAATTTCAAAAATTTTAGTTTTAAAATTTGATCATTTTCTATATCTTCATATGGAGCTCTTCTTCTAAAGGAGATCAATATAGTCTAAAAATGGCCACAACCCCCCAGCCTCTTTAAGAGGACTATTCAAAGAGTAACTTTACAGTTTTAATATTGAATGCACCAAAGTGTCAATTACGCTAAAATATGCTTTGTGTAAGTATCAGTACCGTTATATCTTTAATTTTTTTCCAGCTTGTTCATGGACTATCACAAAACCCTGTGGAATCACAGACCTGGAAAATGTCATATTGTAGAAGGAATAGGTATCCAGTTAGATGATTGACACAGCTGATTTCATCAGATAAATCATTTATTATACATATGTTTTATAACATTTACTGTTTTGTGTGACATTTTCTCTTTATCTCCTATCTATAGAATCAATGTATATTTTTGAGCATGTTTCCTAAAATCTAATTGTAACATTTTTGGCACTTGTAGACTATGGTTCTGAGGATATGCAGACCACCAAGTCTGGTTTGACTTTCATCACTTCTGTTAGTAAACTTTCATTTCATTGAGGCGTGAAATTAATTTCTTATGTAGATATTATATATATATATATATATATATATATATATATATATATATATATATATATATATATATATATATATATATATATATATATATGTTGCTTAAGTAATCTAAAATTTTGAAGGGAGTGAATGGAGTGCTCTTTAGCCCAAGCTTTAAAGAATATTACAAGAAACACAATGTAAGAGGGAGAATTATGTTGTTTAACATGGAGAAACCAGAGGATGGGGTCAAAGAATTGATGATTACTGGAAACAAGTTCAGTTATGACGACTTCTATCCTCATGGAATCAGTGTGCTAGAGGACAAAGGTAGCTTTAAAAATGTACAAGTGATAAAAATATGGAAAATGCATTGTGATAGATATTGTGAAGTATAAATACATGTATATTGTGTTACCTAAACCATGAATATATTATCATAGTTTGCCACAGATGAGATTTTTAAGAATTAGATTTATACAAAATATTTACTTTATGGTGTACAATAATGAAATTGAAAATATAAAAATCGCAAATAACTTTTTCCAGGTGTGTATAGAATATTTTATCGCAGTTAAGAGAAGATAAATTTTGTTTTGCAAAATAAACAAAATTTCTTTTCGTAATTGTTTTCTAATTAAAAATTTTTTTCTCTGAATTATTTTTTATCCCAATAACTTAAGGGAAAGTGTTGTTGTTCGTTGTGGTTCATCGGCATGAACAAGACACGGTGGAGAAATTTGAGTTTCTGGAGAAAACTTTAGAATTGAAGCACCTGAAAATTTATAGTGGAACTTTACCTCACGTGTATGTTTATAAATTACGTTCGTTGCTAAGTTATCATTCAACATTTTTCATTGCATTTTGCTGTAAATAATGGTTTTTGGACTGTTTTGGATTGATCTTGGGTTAAGAATGTGCATACCTTTATCTGATTTTTCAGACTTAATGATGTAGTGGCAACAGGACCAGATACCTTTTACACAACAGACTGTGTGTATTATCGTGATTCTAGACAAATTATTGAAACAGTTTTCGGGTTTCACTTTGGACATGTTTTGTACTACAATGGCAACGATTTTATCATTGCTTCAGAACCAACATACACGGCCAATGGTTGTGCCCTCTCTAAGAATGGGAAGTAAGTGTGAATAATTTTCTTCTTCTCATTTTCTTGTTTTCCTTCTTGCAGGGAATGAAACTCATGATCATTCTTTTCTATTATAGACTTCTGTATGTTGCTTCCAGTTATGGTAAAAAAGTGATGGTATTTAAAAGAGAGTCGAACAATAGACTTACGAAGGTCAATGTAAGTGAAAAAGTGATAATTATTTTCGTGTTATAAAACATTTTAATGTAAACATATCATTTCACTACAATGGATGTAGTCACCATATACATGTAGTCAGTTTAGTTGACAGAAGTTTTTATTCTTAACTTTATATAAACATGTAACATAAAAAACTAACAAAATACTGATCAAAGAGGATACTTTTACCATAAACTTCTATTCTACCACATACATCTGTAGGAAATTCCACTTGATACCCTACCAGACAACGTGGTGGTGGATCCAGAAACTGAAGATTTGTTGCTGGGCTGCCTCCCAATAATATTTAAAACTTTTCAACATCTCGATAACCCAGTTGAACCAGCAGCCTCACAGGTAATATGCGTCCGTGATTATAATTTAGAAACTTACTTACACAGGTAAGAGGTTTCCTTGTTAATAAGTCAGTAACTTACTTACACAGTTTTAAGTTGTCCTTGTCAATAATTCAGTAAGTTGCTTTTTTACACAGGTAAAAGGTGTCCGTAATTATAATTCAGTATAACTTACTTAGGCAAGAGGTGTCCATGTTAATAGTTTAGTAACCTGCTTTCTTACATAGGTAAAAGGTGTCTGTGATTATAATTTAGTAACTTACTTAGTTACACATGCAGGTAAGAGGTGGTCGTGAGCGTAATTCAGTAACTTACACACGTAAGAGATGGTTGTGATCATAATTCAGTGAATTTATCCTACAAGGATTTGCCGAAGTACTTCAATATATGGATATTCTACATGAGGAGAAACTGGCTTCATATTGTAAACCAACTATTATTCATGACAGTTTTTATTCGCGACGACTACTTTTCGCGAATGATGGAATACTCTTCATTTAAATAGTTCGCGACTAGAAATATTTGCGAGTAAATCAAAGTCGCGAAACTCGTGGATATTTCTCGTACGCTGGAAAAGTTGGTTTACAGTTTGTATTTTAAGGACTGAGTTCAACTTTGTTGCATTCTAATACCACAGTTATATATCCATAGACAATTTACCTAGTTATTAAAAAATCTACTTGAATGTTTGACGAGAATTATCAAAAAAAGTTTTTAAAATGAGATCAATTCACTGCCTTTGAAAAATGTTGTATTTAGAGTATAGTTTTCTTTTTTCAAAGTTGCCTGGATTTAGGAATTTTTTTGTGGAGGGATACTGTGGACAAAAATGTCCTATTGTTTTATATTGTGTGCGTGTGAGTTCAAAAATACATTAGTTGCCTGTGAAAATATTACATTTGTATATCATTGAATAATAATATTCACAATTGTTACGAGCATTACTTGTGACAGGTTATGCAGTGTTATTAAGAAATGACATCATTGCTAAATACAAGTAGTGTACAAATTAGTGAGAATTCTTCGAAACAAAATGAAAAATCTCCTGAAAAGTAACAAGGGGGGATTTATTTCTTTACTTTAGCAGTTAGACTTTGCATCAAAGAAAAAAAACCTCCAGTACCTCCACAAAAAAAGTTTTATTTTTTCTTTAAAAATTAATTACATGGAACTCAGTATACCCTAAAAACTCATTCAAGAAAGTTTAATCATTACTTTAATTATCACAGGTAAAATTGATAAATGCACAACAGTACAAAATGAGGTATCAGTCTTTGATTTTCCACTGTTACCATTGGCATTAACTACTGTTAACATTTTTAATTTTGGTGTTATGTTTGTTTTCTCGTTCTTTAAGAGGTAACCACCTAAAACATCCAGTCTTTATGTATTTAGATATTATAATATATTTTATAATTAGACACATTTGACTGATAATTCCATGAAAAAAAAGCTATCTATAGAGAATCCTTGAACGTTTAGATTAGAATCTTAAGCACATGAGTAAAATATATATTTATTGATCATACACTTGGAAACCGCGACTTAAGATTTTTATTACATTTTGTTTGCCGGAGTACCTTGAGTTGATTGTTTCATATTTGGATATTTTATTAGAAAAGACGTTAATGGTAACCTTACAAACAAACAAAACTTTATGATAAACGTGATGACTTTGCTATCGTCAACCTCCCTTATTTATGTAGCAAAATATCTATCAACTGTATATAAAATTATGTCTCCTAGTTGATTCGATGATCAAGAGCATGCTCTACGTAAAAACAATTTCTAAAACAAGACAATCTATTGACAACTAAGTTGATGATACATGGATATTTACAGTCTCGTTTAAGGTCAACATTTCGCAAATTCTATGGTCGATACAGTGACGTCAGCAAATACAATCTATGATTAGGTCGAATGTTGACTGACGTTTTTCATACTAATTGTTAGTCCATTATTTTCACACTGAATTGTCTACAGATTTTTCCGTTTTCCCGATCATGTCAAGGAGCACAACGGTGTTTGACCCGTGGACAGGAGATGCGTTGCGTTCTCCTCCGTGGCACCTGATTCCATCTCTGATGTTTTTAAAAGTCTGTGTTTGCTCTGCTCCCAATTTTATTGTTTCAATGGACTTTGGAGCTTGATTACTGATTCAATTTAATTATTATTTCAGTCAACTCATCCTTCATTTCATAGCTGAAAATTTTTGGATTGTTTACTGGTTTCAATTTTGCGTCAGCGAATCGTTTCCAAATTTCAGAAGTATTTATCAACATTGTTAGATTATATTTTTAAAAATAAATTGATAGTTAAAAGTTCGAAAAGAATTTAATGTGTTGAAGCATTTATAACTTGTCCGCAATGTAAATTTTTTCTATAGGTGCTGATGTTACACATGGATAGCAGTGGTACTAACATGACAGGTGTTACGGAACTGTTCTCAGATGACCTTGAACTTTATGGTTCCACCGTGGCTACATTGTACAAGAATCGTATGTTAATTGGCACAGTTCTTCACAAAATGATGTACTGTGAAGTGAATATATTATAAAGAACGTTTTGTGGTCAAAACATCCACTCCATTTTAGTTTGTGTACTTTATAAAATATATGTTAATATTCCTATTTGTCCATGACAGTTAAATTACACTGGATGATTGTATGTTAAATACTTACCGCTTTTCCTTCGAACATTTTCAAAACAAATGTGAAAATATAAGAATGCATACCAGTTAGTGAAAATGAAAATTGAAAGTCTATATGGACCTTTCATACATTTTCATTCAGTTTTTGTGCATCGAGCAATATTATTTTGTAGTCAATAAAAACCTACAAATTAATTTAACTATACTTATTATGGTTTACAAACAGTAATAATGAGTAATACTTTCTATTTCCATTACTGGAACTCTTCAAATTAGAGGCGGGTTTGGTCGTCTGACTGGGACAACAATGACGTAGTGGAGAATACAAAACATGCCGATCTCAATCCAATTTTGAATGTTTAATGAATTTGTCATTCCAGTTAAAGAATAGAAGAACTAATAGGCATATGAGAGATTGGGAAAGCCCAGAATTTATCATCCACTGATAAACATTACGACGTTTTCGAGGCATGTACATTGTATTTAGAGACGAACCGTCAACACTAAGTCTTGTCAACAACTTCCTGTGGTGAAAAAATTGACGTTGTTGTTTCCACTTCTTATGCATGTTAAGTTCACAACAATACAGTGTCTCATTTGCATGTTTGTTACGCGTTTTTTCCCATCCACATTCAACATACTGTATACATGTTGTTATGATTGTCCCTGAAATCCCGCGAGATTTGTACATTTTCCGACTTTTTCACAAAAGAGCACACTAAGTACTATAATTCTTCCATGGTGGAAATAGAACGTATTGAAATTAAGCTTGATGCATTCCGGTTTAATAATGCGTACAAATAGGTAATATAAAGTAAAGATCCAGGAAAGGATTATCATCGGGTGTTCACAAAAAACACTGATTCTGATTTTTCACTGTGCAATACCGGTATGGTTTTGAATTTTAATATGGGGATGTCTAATTTGAGCGAAGAAAAACAGAAAAAAAATTTAATGATTTAACTGGAAGTTCATTTTTTTTTTATAGTTGGATATGGAATTAATTTCAATCTAAAACATGAAGTTTTGATATCTTCATGCTTTGCACTCTTTTGAATACATTTTTTAAAATCCATATCCGATTTCAAAACATTGACTATTATATCATCTCTATATTTAGGCCACAGTAATCGAAGACTCGGGGGCATATAGATTTTGCTCTGTTTGTCCATCTGTCTGTCTGTTAGTCTGTCCGCAAAACTTTAAAATTGTCAATATCTTTCGATTGGTTTGAGCTTGAACTTTTATATTTCGAATGAGCATCCCTTGTGACAAGACCTTTTTGGGTATACCAACATATCTGACCTTTTCACTTTGACCTTGGAGTTCGACCTACTTTTGAAAATCTTTAACCTAGGCAATAACATTTGAAAGCTTGATGCTAGAGCTTCCATATTTCATACTTCATACTGTTTGATTTGTGGACCAATATATTTAGCTCATGGCCTTGACCTTGTTTGATCTAGTTTTAAATACTTTAACCTTACCATAATTTCTGAATGGTTTTTGCAAGTGCTTTTATATTTCACGGGCGTATTTGTTTTGACAAAACCTTTCTTTGGATGCCAACATTTTTAATTTCTTGACCTTAACTTTTTAGTTTAACTTGCATTTGCAAAACTTTAACCTTCGCATGAGCTGTCATTCGGGGGCATCAGTGTCTCACAAACAAATCTTGTTTTATTGTTTGAAAGCTTTTTGTATCTAGAATATTGGAATAGCGAGAAAGGGTATATGAACATTTATTGTTCATGAGAATCGAAATAGGCATTCACCTGTACCATCTTGTATTTACCTGTCTATCTTTCACGTTTTAGGGGAGAATAATTTATAAGTTTGTTGCACTGATGTTGAAATTGCTACAGAGTCAGTATTGAGGTCTATGATCTAGTGCAGAAACTCCAAAATGCCATATTATTACGTCTCAATCAACTCACTGGTTTCCTCTTTAGCTAACATCAGTGGAGATTTGTGTAAGAGTTCGAGCAAGTGAGACTTTAGTTGGAAAAAAATACCTATGGAGAAGGAAAATGGGATATGATATAACAATTTTATTTAAATTTAAAATTCATTTTCTACTGCCTAACATTCTGAAAGAAGATGGGTGAACAAGTAGTGCAACAAACATGAAGTGAAAAATAAAATCTCAATTATATAAAAATTTTCTTTGATATTTCATCTAACATTAAAATATATTTTATGCTAAATCTCTACAATTTACAAAAATCTCACAAAGACTGAAATTGTTTGCCTATGAAATAGCATACACACACTAAAGAGGACAAAAAGGATCATTTTCTCATACTTTAACAAAATTTTTCGATATGAGTGGGTCTTCGCTCCATTTTTTTGAAAGTTGATCTTTTAAAAAAGTTTGCATAAAAATATACATTTTTTGGTTTACAAAAACATGGAGCAAAGACCCACTATACCTTAAAGGTACACTTTTATGACAAAGCATTCGCATCTTTCCGAGAAATACTTGAAGTCCATTAAGTCAAGGGTCATATCACAAACATGATTTAAATGCCACTATTCGTCAGGAGCTGCGTGGCGTAGTGGTTAGCGTGTTAGTCTCAAAACAATATGATACTCCGGATTTTTATTGATAGGGGTTCGAATCCCACGAATACCATTTTATTTTTTTTTTATAAAAGAATAATTTTTTCCGTGATCTTTTTTATCAGAAAAGTTTTGTTGATCATAATTTCATAAATTTCAATAATGAGAACTTTATTTTAAATACTTAATTCACAAATTGAATATGATTTTATTAATATCTGAAGTTATAGGCATTCTGCACGCCTTGTTCACCCATCTTCTTTCTTATACTAGTATACTTTAAGTATGACTCACAAATCGTATGCAATTGTTATTATGAGACAGGGCTTTCAATAAGGGGAGGTAAGAAGCCGTGTCAGTGAGTGATTGGAATTGTCCCTTTAAATTTCATATAATTGGCAAATAAACTGTCGGAAATAATTATAAATCGGTCCCTTCAATTAAATTAATTCACCACTTCACTTCAATATTATTGAAAACCTGTTGATAATAAATTCCTTAGATGTTTTTCCTTAATCTGGAGAATTGACTTTCTCGTTGACAGATGTATATACAGGTAGCAATCATTTAATACCTATAATTTGAATTATAGTTTAAAATATAGTTGGTATATGTTTACAATATAATTAAATTTAGAACATTTAAGTAAATAAAAAAAATTGCTGATTATTTGCTAATACTTGACTGGATTATGTTATGGATATAAATAAATTAGACAATTAATCTAATAAACTATATTTTCTTCTTAGGTGTCCTTTCCTCATTTCATGTACATTTTAACTATGTGGACAAACACCACCAAATGTTTTCCCATAGACTTCCATACAAAGTTGAGCCACTGTCACTGATTCATATATTCAATTTTGGGCAAATGACTTTCTTGCCGTGAAAGTTCGAGATCTTGCAAACAAAAAATGCCAGAAAAAATATACCGTGCCGTTGCACTTTTACTTTCAAATTCCATTTGTTTACAACTAGGTGCGTTCAGCACCAAATAAAAAATCTCTAACCAAAGTGCACCTCTCCCTTCAGATTTTTACCTGTAACTCCTATATATCTTAAAGAAGCCTAAGTCTTGATATGAGATTTTTATCACCTTTATTTCACTTGTCAAATACATAACAAGTCTTTTCTCTTAATGACCAATCATGTGCCGTGTAGCATTTTCTTCTCCGCACAACTTTGGATGTCCAAAATGTCTGCGCCCATGTATAAGGTTATGTAGGTGTTTTTCCGTGTATACCGAGGTATTGTTTACTTTCAGTTCAAAACGAAAGAAGAGTAAATGTAAAACCGGATTCTGATCCATATCAAAGGGTAAACTATAACTGGGTCACAACTTCAGGAAAACTGGTTTGGTTTTGTTTACAGCCATATTGCTTACCTTTTCGTCTTTACATCTTTAAACTTGATTGTTAAGAGTTTTACCTCATTATTTTGGAGCTATTTCAACATATTTAACTTTAAACACAACGCGAAGTCAAACACATGTTGCCGGTTCTCCATTTGTAAACAATCTATGTAACTTCCTGTATTGTGTATTCACATACCTTTGTAAAGTCCGCTCTGATTGGCTTATCGGCGATATGTGAATCCAATAGTTCTATTTGATATAAACTTATCGATTCATTGATTTTCTATTGTTCAATAAAGTATAAAAGGACAGTCTTGTCCTTTTCTTTTTGGAGTTGTCTGGCAGAACACTCCGTACAGGTACTGTTTTGAACAGCACCTAACTCTTTTTCTGCTACTTTCACTTTACAGTGTATTTTGATAACTGAGTCATTGACTCATTCGGAATTTCTTTCCTAAAAAGTTTATTTTCTGAAATAAATTAAATTTCTTATTTGAAATAAATATTTTTGAATTATCTTCCTTCTTAAAATTATTTAGATATTTTTTGAACATTTTTTGACTTTAGGAGAGCCGAGCAATTATTTATTACAATTTATATCTGGAAAATATTTACATTTTCCAATTTATTTTGGTGCTTTTTGATAAAGTATTCATATTCATATTTTGAGTATATTTCTATATAAATATTTCATATTATACAATTTTTCCTTTCTGAGAGTTTCTCTTCTCAATTTTGTGTACATTATTCATATTTTTCCCTCATTTTGTTATTGCATCTTGTTATCATTTTTGTTATCACCTTTACCCATCAAAATCATTTTTGTTATATAAAATACTGAAATTTAAACCTGACTTATGTTGTTCTTCTCTGTCATAAGCACATCTAGTGATACGATTGTGGTATGTAAGAGAATCATTGCTCCTGCGCAAAGCTAAGGTATAATCTAGCACGGCCATACGTTTAATAGATTAGTTATCTTGGCTTGCGGGGGCATGAAACCCTCTTCCTTACTACATTTTGGTGCCGTGACCAGGATGTGCTTCTAATTATGACAGGGAGACAACAAGAAATCAGAAAAATGTTCAGGGATGAACTCTTTGTTGATGGGTCTTTACTAGGTGCTTCAGGAGGGAAAGATTCAAGAAACAGTAAATCTCCTGAAATCCCCTGAAAAAGTCAAACAACAGAATGAAATATTTGAACTTACAGAAACCATTAAAAATTTGGAAAAGCGCTTACAAGATGCTTTGAAAAGTTCAGAAACTAGTAGAAAAGA